AAAGTGCCATTTACTATAAAATCCCAGTATCTGGAGAGAGAACTCAATGGACTGAGGCAATACTTTGCAAGTTCGAGACATGGACTCAATAACCAGCACCCTGCTCTATACAGCCTAGCATTGCAGATGGAGCGACACTAGTGCACTCCTGGTGTGGCCCCCAAACAAAAAACAAGCAAACAAAACTCCCATACTGAAAGCCTCAATTCCACAATTATTACAAAGAAACGACTCCATTTATAACCACTTAAAATGATTTATAACCACTTACTAAAGAACCTAAAGAAACTGAGAATCTGTATTAAGTAATTTAATGTCAGATTGGAGTGACAGTATAGCAGTAAAGTGTCTGCCTTGCACACAACTGACCTGGTTCAATCCCTGGCACCATATATGGTTCTCCACACCCCCAAATCTACCAGAAGTGGCCCCTGAGCTCAGAGTCAGGAGTAAGTACTAAGCACTGCCAGCTGTGGCAAAAAACAACAACAAAAATTACCTTAACTTTCCCTCAAAAACACAGAGAAATAACATAGCTATGTTTAAGAGTCTTCTTAAAATGAAATTCTGATTTAGAAAAGTTACACACTTTCCTATCTGCAGGATACAATTCCAATCCAAATGCAAGTCATCTTAGTGGATAAATTAACAATGATTGAAAACTAGTTTTACTGTCAATATAAATAACAAAACTTTCCCAATTCATAGTCATGTGGCCTTTTATCACAAAGCTGTCTTAACAGTCCACACTCTCAACATTCTTTTGTATTTCTGTATATACACACATCTTTGATGGAGTGCTGAGGTAATTACAGTTGAGAGTTGAAAAACACTAGACGAACCAATAATTAAAATTGTATTGGAAAACATTACAGGAAAACAACATAACTGTTGCAGATAACCAGAATACATGGAATATGTATTTAATGTCTTTCCAAACATTCCCAGTGGAGACCACTTCTCTAGAATGTAAACAGAAGGTAATCAGTGTCATCGAAATGTGTTAATCGAAGAGCAGGAAACCTTGATAAATGAAATCACCACCATCTGCATAGGGGAGATGCTCAAAGAATTGGGCATATGCTTTGCATGACGGAGTTCTGGGGTTTAAACCCCAATACCGTTTGGTTCTCTTCTCCAATATCAAGTACCAGAAGGTGGTCCCCTCTCTAAAGACAAGAAACAGTCATATCCTTCTATGTCATTAATTCAAAAACCTATTTTTTAGAAATGAAGAGGGGGCAGAGAGATAGCACAACAGGCAGGATCATGGGTTTGATACCTGGCAAAACACGTTCCTCTGAGACCAACAGGAGTAGAAGTAATCCTGGTGTGGAAGGAGAAGAGAACATAATACCACAGAAGGGATCATGTCCAGTTCATTCTCCATATAAATGAATACTAGCACACCGTAGGCAATTAATGCAAACCCACAGTTATAGGGAGAGCACTTACGTCTATTACAGATCATCAAAACTCTGTAAATCTGGTTCATTGATTTTTCACCCATCCAGATGAAAGGGGAAGAAAAAAGAAAGAAAAAGAATGGAAAGAAAGAAAAGCCATTTGGGGGCAGTTTCAGCAAGAAAAAGTAGTCTATGTCATAAAGATGTGTATTTGTTTTGGGGCCCATATTCAGAAGAGTCAGGGCTTACTCCTGGCTCTCTGTTCAGGGATCATACCTGGCAGAGCTCAAGGGACTATATGTGCTGCTGGAGATTAAACTCCAGTCAGCTGTGTGCGAGACAAATGCTCTACCTGCTGTCCTATTTCTCTGACCTTAAGATGTGTTTTTTTTGTTTTGCGGCCATACCCAGAAATAGTCAGGGTTTACTCCATGCTCTGCACTCAGAAATTACTCCGGTAATATTTGGAGGAACCATATGGGATGCAGGGGATTGAACCTGGGTTGGCCACCTGCAAAGCAAATGACCTACCCGCTATACTATCACTTTGACTCTTAAGATAAAAAAATTTTTTTTCTCTATTACTTTGGGGCCTTTTTTGGGGGGGGATGTTTTCTCTATTACTTTGGGGCCTTTTGGGGGGGGGATGGGAGAGGTGGACACCGGGCATGCTTACGAGTTACTCCTGGTTCTGCACTCAGGAATTATTCCTGGTGGGCTTGGGGAGCCATATATGGGATGCCAGGGATTGAACTCAGGTCAGCCGGATGCAAGACAAATGCCCTACTCACTGTGCTATTGCTCCAGCTCCTAAGATGTGTTGCTATTTATTTTTTATTTTATTTTATTTTTTAAAAGGTGTGGATTCCTCCACCCCTCTCGGAGAGCCCAGCAAGCTACAGAGAGTATCTCGCCCACACGGCAAAGCCTGGCAAGCTACCTGTGATGTATTCGATATGCCAAAAACAGTAACAACAAGTCTCACAATGGAGACGTTACTGGGCTCGCTCGAGTAAATCGATGAACAACGGGAGGACAGTGACAGTGACAGCTTTTAATAGAATTATTTTTCACCTCTGAAGCTTTCTCTTGGAATATTAGTAAGCTGAAATTTGGTCTCATGTAACGAGAGTCTGGAACAAAGCTTAAATACACCAAGCTAAACAAAGTTACACACAAAGTGATTGTTACAAAATGGTGCTGTTCTGCTAATGTTGCCAGTACATTCTTCTTTTCGTGGAGGCTCCCAGTTCAGGCACTACCTGATAACAACACTCCAACAGGAACAGCGAGAAGCTAGCTCCTCCAACTATTCACTGAACATGACCAAATGCCTCTTCAAAGGCCATCTAGTTGACAGAAGACAGCGTAAGAAATATAAGTGATACAAATACACGAAGGGGTAGGGCTTTTGGAGAGGTAGCAGACAGGGTAGGGCTTTTGGTACACAGCCAAACTGATTTTGATCCCTTGTACCACATATGATCCTCAAAAGCAAACAAACTAAACACATGACAAAAGAGAAAGAGAAGCACTATACTTGTTTGGTTTTTTTTTGGGGGGGGGGAGGGGGTGCCACACCTGGCAGTATTCAGGGTTCACTCCTGGCTCTATGCTTGAGATCTCGTGCTGGGATAGAACCCAGGTCTGCCATATGTAAAGCAAATGTCATACCTGTTACAATATCTCTCTGGCCATCGATTCCTGGCATCCCATATGGTCTTCTGAGTACTGCCAGGAAAGATTCCTCAAAGCAGAGACAGGAGTAACCCCCCAAATTATATATATATATAATATAAATGATATAATTATAATATATAAAACATAAATTATATATTATAATATATAAATATATATTTGCTCTAAAAAGTTTTTATTATTAATTCTTATTTTTGCTTTGTTTCTAACAGTAGAAAGGGTAATAAGAAAAAAACAACTATATTCTTTGTACTACAGGTACAAAAAAATTCTACTCTGATTTTAAGTACTGCGCTGACTTTACTAATTCTATAAGTTCTGTTAATATGCCTAACCCATTTGATTTTAAGTCCTAATTTTATTTTGGATTTTGGACCATACCCAGTTGTGCTTAGGGATCATTCATTCCTCGCAGTGCACAGGGGACCGTATTTGGTGCTGAGATTGAACAGGGGTCACAGCATGCAAGCCAAGCACCTTGACCCTGTCTAGTATCTCTCTGGTGCTGTACAAGCACTTTTAAAAATCATTTTTGGGGTCGGAGCAATAGAACAGAAGGTAGGGTGTTTGCCTTGCGTGCAGAGATCCCGGATTAGACCCCCGGCATCCCGTATGGTCACCCAAGCACCACTAGGAGTTAATATCTGATTTCAGAGCCAGGAGTAACCACTGAGCATCTCCGGGTGTGACCTAAAAGGGGAGAAATTTTTTTTCTTCAATTAATTCTATGATATGCTGAACGCCATCACCTTTATCAGGCTGCAATTCTACAGGTTTGTTTCTACTTTGTTTTTATGTCACACCAGGTGATGCTCAGGGGTTGCTTCCTCTGGTGCTCATTGTAAGAACAGAACTTGGGGCTTCTGCGTATACTGTTGCAGTTCCAGCCCTGTGAGTCATCTCCAGAGTATCCAATTTGTTTCTATAACCAGCTCTCAGAATAAAATATCATTTCATGATTCTTGAAACATTTATCATTTGTGAACAGACTGTAACAGTTACTACATGAGTAAAAAGTATTGTTTAACTGTTTTAATCAAGTTGAAAAAGAACATTTAATCCAAAAGAAAACTTCACTCCCACCCATGGGCTAATGCCCAAAAACTTCCTAAGTACTTTTGATTAACTTGAAAAGTCAAGCCAACGTAACTATCAGGATTAGGCAGGCTTTGAAAACTGGAATTAGTTGAAAGACAATAGTCGCTGCACTATCTCTCACCAGGATCAGCTACCTCCTTGTTGCAAGCACCAGTAAAGAAGCAAGGAAGGGCGCCAGATGGTTCGCTCCTAGCACATACAACTTCAAGCTGAGTAGGTGTATCCAGGGGTATACAATTACCTTATATTAACACCTACTTATGCTGGTGACAGGTGCAAGTGGTCTACACACTATAGCCACCCGAGAGGACGCTTTTAGCTGCAAAGACTGTTACAGTCTCAACACACTGCACGCATATCTTATACAAGTTCATTTGGCAAACCGGTAGAGGAGGAGAAAAATTGGAGAGGGAAGGAATTGTTGCAAATGAAGGGAAAAGAGCAGTTCACTATCAGAACATGCCCCGGGAGGCTACTCTGAATCTTCCTGAGCCACCTTCCTCCAAAAAAGAAGTCGGCGCTCAGGGTTTCCGATAGAAGAGAGCCGATTTAACAGCTCCCTCCCTTAGGGAAGAAAGGTCCAGCAGTACCTAATCACTCCCAACCCAGCGCAGCACCCCGAAGTGACCAGCGACTCCTCCACTCCCCGCCTCGAGGGGGAGGGGTTCGCGCTCCTTTTTTTATTTTTTTTTCCCCAGTTCCAGAAGTCGCGGGAGACCAGAGGGTACGGAGGGAAGCTGGGGTCTTCGCGCTCTTCCCTGCAGCTGCAAAAAAAACGTGGAGCGAGCAGACTCTTACCTCGCTAAAGGCGGTCTTTCCTCAGCGCTGCAGCCAGCCCCGCCGCGGGTCCCCGGTGCTCAGCCCAGCGCACCTGTCGCTACCTCGCCCGAGCAGCGACCCACCCCGCGGCCCCGCCCCGCGCCGGCTCCGGGCCACGCCCACCGCCACGCCCACCTCCGCGGGGACGCGCTCGCCCCCCCCCCCGTCTCCCGTGCGCGCCCCCGGAGCGAGCGAGCGCGCGGCCGGCCGCGTCCCCGGGAACCGGGGCTCGGGGCGCAGCGGGTCCCCGCGAGGGGCGTGGCTGACGGCTGGGGTGGGCGGGGTCCGGCTCCGGGCGCGGCCGGGACTCGCCCCTCCTTAAAGGCCTCGGCCTTCGCCTCCTCCGGACTCCGCCCCCCGGTTTGCCTTGGGAGCGACCCGGAGGCTTGGCCGAGATTCGGCTCTCGGGGTCCTGGGCCCGGGTGCGGGGGCCCTGGGTGCGGGTTCGAGTGGAGCGTGTTCTAGGACTCCGTCGCGGGTGCTGAGAGGCCGCTCGCTCATGAGGGCTTGGACGGCGCAGACCCCCACCCCCGCCCCCGGTGTCCCCCTCCTCTAGAAGGTGCCTCGAGGAGAGTTCGGAGTCAGTCGGGGGGCGCCGCGCCTCACTTCCGGTGGCCCCCGGGGGGCTGGGAAGTGGGGTCCATCCCGGGGGTGGGGTCCGTCCGTTTTCCGCCCCCCTCGCCTAAGCCCCGTTTCAGGCCACACACACTTTTCTGAAGTTTCGCATTTACGTATCAGGGGCTCGCGGTGACTTCTACTTACATTTCGGGCAACAGTTGAGGGGGAAAAAATTATTATTATTTTTTTTTGGTTTCTTTTAATTTTTCCTTTGGGGGCCACACCCAGCAGTGCTCAGGAGTGACCCCTGCCGGTGCTCAGGGAATCGTTTTGTGGTGCGGGGGTCCAGCGAACCGGAGCAGCCCTGTGCAGAGCAAGTGCGTTCTTAGCTCCTGAACCCATACGATTTTATTTTATTATTATTATTATTATTATTATTTTGCTTTTTTGGGTCACACCCGGCGATGCACAGGGGTTACTCCTGGCTTTGCACTCAGGAATTACTCCTGGCGGTGCTCAGGGGACCTTATGGGATGCTGGGAATCGAACCGGGTCGGCCGCATGCAAGGCAAAAGCCCTACCCGCTGTGCTATACCTCCAGCCCCACCCATACGATTTTATTTCAAAGGAATTTCAGAAAATTAGGGGTCCCCTACAGACCATGCTCTGCTGTGGGTACTGGCTTGGGCACGACCACCAGGGCTGCTTGGAGCTTAGGCGTCACTTGATTGTGCTCAAGTGCTCTTCCACTTGACTTTTTCCTCAGTCCCCAACCCTTTCCTCCCATTCTCCTTTTGTCATCACTATTGAAATTACAGCGGGCCTCTCATCTGCTTGGTTTTGGTACTGGAGCAGGGATTGAGGGTGGGCGTGAAGTGAGGGTTTGCACGCTTTGGTTGTGTCCCTTGTACATATGCTCACTCAGGGTTGCTCTCATTCAGTGTAGGTGCTGAAGTGTAGGGTGCTCACTCACTTGCAGGTCTATGCCATTTTTGCTGCCTGCTGAAGTTTTTATTTGGTTTCAGGTCATCATACCCCGTGGTGTACAGGGCTTAGTCCTAGCTCTGTGCTCAAGGATCACCCTTGTAGTGCCTAGGTGACCACATGTGTTTGGTGGCAATAGACCCAGGGTCTCCATACCTTAACCCCTGTACTGTTTCTTCAACCCCTGCAGTTTTTTTTTTTTGTTTGTATGTTTGTTTTGCGGGGGCAGGGAGGAGGGGAGGAGTGCCAAACCTGGCAATGCTCACGGGTTACTCCTGGCTCTGCTCTCAGGAACTACTCCTGGTGGTGCTCAGGGAACCATATAGGATGCTGAAGATCGAAGCTGGATCTGTCGCATGCAAGGTAAGAACCAAACCCCCTCCAGCCCACCCCTTCCCCTGCAGTTTTTAAATACTGTAAAATAAATATGGTTTTATTATTTATTTATTTATTTATTTATTGCTTTTTGGGTCACACCTGGTGATGCTCAGGGGTTACTCCTGGCTTTGCACTCAGGAATCACTCCTGGCGGTGCTCGGGGGACCATATGGGTTGCTGGGAATCGAACCGGGTCAGCTGTGTGCAAGGCAAACGCCCTCCCCGCTGTGCTATCACTCCAGCCCCAAATATGGTCTTTAAAGGTTTAATGAAACAATAAACTTATCTGATAGTAAGGAGGGCAACAGAAGTAAAAGAAAATGAGTTGATAGCCAATTGTTTACATATGTAATACTGTATAACAAGAATACTGTAATGCTAAAGATAATGTAATCATACTTAAGACTCTTAGAAAAGAATGCCAGATATATAGTGTAACTTATTTGGCACGTACATATTTGACTAAAATTACCTAGCATTTTTCTAATATTGCTCCAGTATGCAGTTGAATCAGTTTCTGTACTGGTTATGATACTTGTTTCTTTAAAGAATTGTTTTGAGGCTGGAGAGCTAGTACAGTGGATAGGGCACTTGACTTGCATGTGGCTAGTCCCCAGGTGTGATCCCCAGTGCTTTTGAGCCCACCAGGAGAAATTCCAGAATACAGAGCCAGGAGTAAGCCCTGAGACTGCTTGGGCATGGTCCCCATAACAAACAAACAAACAAACAAACAAACAAAAAAGAACTGTAAGCAAGAGTGTGTTTCTAATACATTATTGTCTACCTTTAAACGATTGTGTCTTTGATAATGAATATTTGAATGGAAATTTAATTATGTTGGGAGCGATAGCACAGCGGTAGGGCATTTGCCTTGCACATGGCCAGTCGGCTGACCTGGGTTCAATTCCCTCGCCCCTCTCGGAGAGCCCGAAAGCTACTGAGAGTATCTCGCTTGCATGGCAAAGCCTGGCAAGCTACCCATGACGTATTCGATATGCCAAACACAGTAACAACAAGTCTCACAATGTTACTGGGCCCGCTCCAGCAGTGCTACAGTGCTTGTGCATTAATTCAAAGGCATTTGAAATAGCTACAAATTTGTTAGAAAATTTATTAGAAAATTATTTATAGAATAAATTCAAATTTATTAGATGTAGTTTGGCACTGTTTAAGTCAATTACAATTAAGTATCTGAAATAAATCCATGACTTAAAAGTATTCTGGATAGAATTTATTGTCTATCACCAATCCAATAAAAATAAAGCTGAACTAGAAACTCTGGTAAAAAAATTAGTATGACTGAAATCAGTAAAAGTTCTGAAACTCAGGTAGAGGAGGTATTATTTACAAACTGTGTTGTTATAAGTTGAGCATATTCTTCATTATATATGCATTTTCTCATTCTTTTTATTCTGATTTGGCTAAGATATTAGCACATATTAACTTCACACAAAGCCATGCTTTTTTATTTATATATATATATTTTATTTCTTTTTTATTAGTGAAACACCACGAGGTACAGTTATAGACTTACAAATTTTTGTGCTTGGGTTTCAGTTATACAATGATCAAACACCCATCCCTCCACCAGCGCCCATCCTCCACCACCACGGGTCCCAGCATCCCTCCCACCCCCCATCCTCCCCATCCCACCCTGCCTCTGTGGCAGGGCATTCCCTTTTGTTCTCTCTCTCTCCTTTTGGGTTCTGTGGTATGCAAGAGAGGCATTGAGTGGTGATCATGTTTGGTACATAGTCCACTCTCAGCACGGATCTCCCACCCTGGGAGGATCCTCCCAACACCCTTTATTTGGTGCTCCCTTCTCTATCCGAGCTTCCTTTTCCCCTAGCACATGTGGCTGGCCTCCAAGTCATGGAGCAAAATTCCTGGTACTAGTCTCGGCCACTCCTGGGTGTTAGTCTCCCATTATGTTACTTTATGTTCCCCAGATGAATGCAATCTTTCTGTGTCTATCCCGCTCTTTCTGAGTCATTTCTCTTAGAATGATACTTTCCATGTAGTACACTTGGATGTAAATTTCATGACTTCATCTTTTCTGACAGCTGCATAGTACTCCATTGTGTAAATGTACCAAAGTTTCTTTAACCAGTCATCTGTTCTTGGGCACTCAGATTTTTTCCAGATTCTGGGAAAGCCATGCTTTTAATGTTGGCATTTTAAAAGAATTTTAAAATTACTTTTTTTCCGGTGATTTTTTTTTTTTTTTTGATGAGGGGCACACCTGCAGTGATGGGATCTAGTCCTACCTTTATGCTTGGGAGTTGCTTTCTAGAGGTGCTTAAGGAACCGTGTTGTGCTGGGGATCAGTTATGCGTCTCCTCTGAGCTATTTCAGCTTTGGAAAGCTTTGATACTAGGAACCATGGATCTCATGTTAAAGATTTTAGTTGTTTGGCTTTTTTTTTCCCTACCCCGAAGAGGCCTATGTTCTCTTTAAATACATATTTTCTCTCTTCCTCTCCCCTTACATCTTTCTAAGTAAATTTAATTCAATAAAAACTATCTTGCTTTACTTTAAAAAAGAGAGATTTAAGTCTTTTGAGTTAAAAGACATTCTATAATAAAATTAGAAATTTTATCTAGAAATGTTACTAAAAATAGAAATGTTACTAAAGTTTTTTTCTTTTTACCAGAAACCAAGCATTTATTTTTAAGTTAAAAAAGGTGTATTATCTCCCCCTTTTTTGTTGATGTTGTTGTAATGACTGGGGGGTTCCTTACCTAGTGCTCACACACTTATCTTTGGAGCTTGTCACATCAGGTTGTGCTCCTAGCACATTTAGCCTTTTTATATGTCAAGCATTTTCTTCATTGTATGTGCATTTTTCTTTCTTTTTATTCTGGTTTGCTTACTGAGGTTTGCACTCCTTTAGTTTTCGTGCTTGATAGGAGTCTTGTTATTATAGGAGCTTTATTATTGTTGTTATTATTTTTTTTCTTGATAGACACTGATTACACCTATATTTCAAGTTTGAAAATGCCCAAGGGGGGGAAAGGGAGAGATAGGGAGAGAGAGAGAGAGAGAGAGAGAGAGAGAGAGAGAGAGAGAGAGAGAGAAAGAGAGAGAGAGAGAAGAAAGAGGAAAAAAGAGGAGGAAGAGAGAAACCTCAATTCTTTTTCTTTGTTTTAAATATTTTTG